TTTGAAAATGAGCTACTCAGGGATGAGTTGATTTTGGCAGAAAGCAAGACACTCAAAAGCACACCTTAACATCCTTGAATTGATCCAATGCCTGAGTATTTTAATTGTATATAACTGCATATTTGGGGGACCTTGAACAGAAGGCTTAGAGGTATCAACATGTGTCCTTTTTAGTACATACATATAATGTTATCAAGAATGACACCACAGGCTTTACTCCGTACCTGCTGATGTTTGGATGAGAGCCACAGTTATCTCCTGATTCGTACTTTGGGATCTCAAAAGAGAAACATAACCAGCACGTCTCACTGATAAGAGATGGGCTGAAGGAAGACTATGGTCCAGTCATGTCCGCAGATCAAAGAGGGTCAGAGGTGATGAGAGTAGTGGCAGTGTCAGAGGAGAGAAGGGGGATATACTAGAAATACGATGTTTGAGAAATTCCCACAGGAGTTAAAAGAGACAAAAAAGATGAAAGTCCTACAAAGAAACCTGGTATTCAGAGAAGACACAAGCTAATAGACTGATGGTGAGTTATCTTATTCTAAGTAGTTGAAAGATTGAGCAATCTTACAGTTTACCAAATGGTTAACCTGACTTCTTGTTGATAAAGAGGAAAAGTGTAATAAAGAATCAGCCACGTGCATTCTAAGAAGGGACCATCTCTCACAGGTGGACTGTTAGTCCTAGGTGATGATGCTTCATATGGAGAGGGCTCAGATGAAGAAGGAATTGCATGCTGGCACCCTCTGGAGGTTAGAGGGGAAATCGGAAAAGTCAGATGAGACCGCCCAGGTTCAAAAAGGAGGGTTGAATGCAGACTGCTGCTTTTCTGCCTAATTCTCCAGCCACGAAGGCCCTAAGGGAACAAAAGACATCTGAGGTACTTGACTCATTGGAGGCTAGACATAGTGATAATCTTCCTGAACTATTCTCAAACTTGGGATTCGGACTATGGACCAGTAGGTCTGAGGATACTAAGTGTGCAGAACTGACAGGAAGTCACTATGGGAGTATGAGACTGCCTGGTGATCAGGCTGGCTTATAACACTTCAGGAGCCATAGGAGAGGAGGTCACACATGTAGCCAGATGATGCTCAGTGATGGGATATACTATGTGCATTTATGTGATGTTATATGTAGTACATGTCCTGTGTATTATGTTTATAGTTTACCTCTTTGCTATATGAGCTATTACTATAGGTGCACGTATTGTGTTTCTGCACATGCTCTAATGCTGCTGCAGATTTATATTATGTATTTGAGATAATGGCCTGTGATTATACTATCTGCCAATTAATATTTATGATATGCATTTATATCTGTACCTTTGTAGTTGGTAAAAAAAAATTTTAAGGACTACAAATTATTTACTAGGAGAGGGTATAGTAACAATAGCTCACATTTATGGAGCAATTTAAGGTTTGAAAGTGCTTTACATATATCACCTCATTTGATCCTGAAAACAACCCCTAAGAGGGAGGTGCTGTTATTTTCTCCATTTTACAGACAAGGAAACAGAAGCTGAAAAGGTTAAGTGACTTTCCTAGAGAACTAAGTATCTGAAGCCAGAGTCACACTGGGGTCTCTCTAACTCCTGGTCTAGTGATTCATCCACTATGACACTCCGTGAAAGGGACTTCATTCCCCACAAGCCAGTGCAAAGTGCAACAGGAGATGACACTACTTGAATTCAGACTCCGTTTGTGTAGAAGCATCTGCAGTGTGTTTTGTGAGAGGCTGGTGCAGAATCTCAAAAGGAAGGGGGCATGAGGGGATTTGAGCCAAAGCCAAAAGAGAGATATGCCAAAAAAATATGGGGGGGGGACAGAGGGGAAAAGGGAGACAGAGAGAGAAGGAAGAAATGAGAGAAAAAAGGAAGGGGAAAGAGGGGGGAGGGAGGTCGAGAGAGAGAAGGAGGGAGGGAGGGATGGGGGAATAGCACCTTTTCCTCAAACTCTGACACTGTAGCAAAATCTATTTCAGGTATTAGTAATTATGAGGCTGTCATTGCACCAAGAAGCCTGATTCCTCTATGCCGCTGTTGCTGATTGTTATTTATCTTGCATATCTATTTTAGTAAATGTTCTTTTACATTACTATGATGCCCTGTGTGTATAAATCTAACTGGCTGATATTCATAGGAAAAATGTGTCCTTATGAGAATATGGACCCAGACGGATGCTACATACATGCAGGTACTATTAAGGGATAACACACAGGGAAAGAAAAAAAGACCAACCAGGGCAGGAGAAGCAGCTCTTGTGAATCCAGAGGCCAGGTGAGACAGCACCTCTCCAGTGATATTGCTGTCTTCCCAATCACCAGCATCAGGGCCAACCCAATCAGAGGACTAGATTCCCATGCCTCACAGAGACAACATCCTTAAAACCCTTGTAAGTGGCTAGACTTGTACATGTCACACTTGATGGGCAAGTGCCATTGTTCCATTAGCAGGTCCTAACCAGGGCCCAGCTAAACATTTTCATAGACTGAAATGAGTCAACTTAGATGGCAGGTACAAAAGCAGAAAATGAAGAAAATATAGCAAACCTCATAGAAAAAAAAAAAACCAAAGGACTGGAACAGAGATAGGTAAGATTCTATATGTTGTCCCTAAATGAAAACTGTCTGACCTCTCCTACTCAGTCCCCTTGGCTGGATCTTCGGGTTGTAACTCTGGGTGTTCCCCAGATAGGAAGATAGCCCCAGAAATGGCTCTGTCCTGGACCTTCTTCTTTTTCCCCTCTGTACTATTTCATTTGGTGATTCAACAACTCCCATGGATTTAATGGTCATCTCTACGCAGATGATTCTCAAATCTATTTATCTAGCCCTCACCTCTCTCCTGACCTCTAGTCTTATCTCTCCAACTGCCAATTGGACATTTTGAACTGAATGTGTCATAGACATCTTAACCTTAACATACCTAAAACTAAACTCATTATGTCTTATCCCCCCGCCCCTGCAATGCCTCCCACTTCTCCTCTATATTATTGTCAAGAGTACCACCATCTCCCAGTCACCCAGCCTCACAATCAAGGTATCATCCTCAACTCCTCTCTCTCACCTCCCATATCCACTTAGCTACCACATCCTGTCCTTGCTGACATTTCTAGTATATCCCCCCTTCTCTCCTCTGACACTGCCACTACTCTCATCACCTAATGCCTGGACTCTTACTGGAACCTGCTGGTTGCTCTCCCTGCTTCAAGTCTCTCTCCACTCCAGGCCACTCTCCACTCAGCTGTCAAATTCATCTTCCTAGGGGCAGCTAGGTGGTGCAGCAGATAGAGCACAGGCCCTGAAGTCAGGAGGACCTGAGTTCATATCTGGCCTCAGACACTTGAAACTTACTAGCTGTATGACCCTGAGCAAGTCACTTAACCCCCATTGCCTCACAAAAAAAAAAAGAGGCAAATTCATCTTCCTGAAGTGCAGGTGAGACCATGCCCACCACTCCCACTCCCACCCCTCATTCAATAAACCCCAGTGGCTCCTTATCATCAGCCTCAAGGAAGGAGGAAGGAAACAAGATTTGTTAAGTGCTTATGATGTTCCAGGCACTGTGCTAAGAACTTTATAAATAGTATTTCATTTGATTCTCACAACAAATCTGGGAGATATGTGCTATTATTATTCCCATTTTACAGTAAAGGAAACTGAGGCAGACAGAGGTTAGATGACTTGCCTGAAGTCACACAGCTCACAGTCAGGAGAGGGGGAATGATCAGGAGGCCAGTGTCACAGTATCACAGCATCCATGGAGGTTATGAGAATATTTTGCATTTGATCCTGGAGGTCATTCCTCCTGAATTCTCTCTCTGACCATATCACTGCTACCCCCTATTCAAAAAAACTCTAGGGACTCCTGATACTTCCAAGATCAGATGTAAAATCCTGTGTTTTGTTTTTAAAGTCCTTCATAACCTGATCCCTTCCTACCTTTACAATCTTTCTTCCTATCTTTATAGCTCCTCCCATAAAACAATCTCCCCATTCCCACCATTTTCACTGGCTGCCCCCATGTCTGGAACTGTCTCTGTTACCTCTGCCTCCTGTCTTCCCTTGGCTTTCTCCAAGCCTCAGCTAAAGTCTCACCTCCTCCAAGAAGCCTATCCCAGCCCTCCTTATTTTTAGTGCCTTCTCTCTGAAACCAGCCCCAACTTATTCTGTATGTACCTTGTTGGTAGATCCATAGTTCTTTGCAGCTTATCTCCCCCATCAGACTTGAGCACAGTGACTGTTTTTTTGCCTTTCTTTGTATCCCCAGAGCTTAGCATAGTACCTGGCACAGGAGTGTCCTAGCATGCAGACAGCTTCCCACAATCCCCCTGTAGGTATTTTTTTATTCACATAGTTTTTCCTGGGTGATGTTAGGCTACACTTTTTTGAGTAGTCTTAGGCCTCATTTGGAAGGCTATGTAGCATTTGGGGGATTGATTCAATCAGTATGATGTCATCCACAAATAACATCTGGAAGACCTCACTACATATAAGGAATCTGTCTTCCATCAGAGCTATGCCTTCTTAGACTTTACTCCCCTCTGTGCAGCCCACCGACACTAGGCTCGTTGCTCATTCAGGACACTCGGTCTCCTGATCCGAGGTATTTTCATTGGTTTCCTCCCCAGCGGGGAATGCTCTCCCTCCTCTTCTATGCTTTCTGGTTTCCCTGGCTTCCATGAGGTCCCAGCTAAAATCCTACCTTCTGCAAGACACCTTTCCTGATCTGCCTGAATGCCAGTGTCCGCCCTCTAAGGTTAACTGCAATCTATCCCATCTATTGTAGATAGTTGTTTGCATGTTTTCTTCCCATTAGATTGTGGGTTCTTTGGAAGTCGGACTGTCAGCTGGTAGCACGGTGCCTGGCACACAATAAACACTTAATAAATGCTGGTTGACTTTGACTCGATATATAAATTCACTCCAAGCTTCTTGAGTCAACAACTCAAGTACTTTGTATGAGAGGCTACAGCCCTAATGACTAATATACTTACTCCAAAATTTCCAAGGTCCTGTTCACAGACAAGGCCTCACCTAGGGCTTGGGCCCCAAGCACGCCAATAGATGCCACCTGAAGACTATAAGAAATGGTATAGTTAATGGAAGACAAGCAAATCTGTCCTGCGTTGTCATTTCTTGCCCCAAACTGAATTTTTATTTATTATTTCAATTATAACAAATACTTAATTTTCTGACCTAATTACCAATAATGTATAGTAATGGAAGATGAGGGTGTGCTGGAGCCAGCTCATTCCATGCAGAGAAAGCATAGTTTTTCACGCTTTGCAAACTGACAAACTCCACAAGCCAAGGCTCGATTTGTTTTGTTCATCTATCTAGACTTAAGAAAGTGACGGATAAAATGCTAATAAATGCAGATTAAACTTAAAAGTGGGTCATGCATTTTTGGAGACCCAGTTGTTAAACATTTACCAGCACACTCCTCGTTGGCTCTCCCCCTCAAATTTCTCAGAGCACTTTGGACCTCTCCAATGCATTTATTACCTTCTCCCTTGCGTCAGAGTTATGTATGTACATTGGACTTCACCAAAAATAGATTGTGAGTTCCTTAAGATGTGGGTCTATATAATAGCTATTTTGGTATCTCCCTAGTATCAAGCATAGCGTTGGGACTAAATGTGTGTTGAAATGAATTAATAGATCATTTTGCTCAAAGACTTTCCTTACTGCTACAGCATGTCTGAATTCTGAGATTAGAATCAAATAGTCAATTGGCATTTATTAAGTGCCTACTATGTGCTAAGGACTGAAGATACAAAGAAAGGCTAAAGACATTCCCCACTCTCAAGTTCACAGTCTAATAGAGGAAACAACACATAAACAACTATATACAGGAAAGGTAGTCTCAGAGGGAAGAGACTAAAATTAAAGAGGAAAGATACAGGGAACCAGAGACTCTCCAAGAAAAATTTTGGGGAACAGACTTTCCTCCTCCTTCTTTAATGCCTACATTCTAAATGGTCCATTTTCACTTCCTTAACTTATGCCAATTGCAACAACCTAATAAAACAATTTCTTTGACTGGCAAACAAAAAAAAATATGTAAAAAGAAGGAGGAATGGAGCTGGCTTCCTTGACTGTTAATTTATATAACCTAAAGACTTACTAGAGAGCTGTGAGGCTTGTGTTCATCTTCAGTGCCCTGGCGAGCGCCATCATGCCTTCATCTCCAATGGCATTTTCCTGCAAACTGTAACACAGTAAGTCCCCCCATTATTCTCTGCTTTCCATGTCTCAGCCACTCCCACGCTGCTCTAGCTAGTACTTAAGTCTAGATTGGGTACATCTGCAAGAGCATAACTAGTATGTATAGTAAAGCCTCAGTGAACCAGAAACTAATAACCTTAACCCTAACCTGGAACTCAAAGGTCTCCACTTTTTGGAGAAGTAGCAAATGACAAAAAATCAAGCTAATATAAAATTTAGCTTTAGTTACTTATTTTTTTAATTCTCCGGAAGATACTTTGGGGTCCATCTCTGAGATTTTTAAGTCATTATCCATAGCAACATATAACTGATCTTCAAAATAGTGATCTCGAGCTATCAAAAAGAAAGATTCTGTGGTTCACTATACTTAATAATATAGGGAAAAATTGAAATAAAATGTATTTTTTTGTTCATGATTGTTTTTTGTTTATAATATTCCCCAGAAAATTAAATTTAAAAGAACTCCTCAAAGAATCATTCTAGTGAATCAGAGACACATTGTCTTTTCTTCCCTCAGGTCGGAAGAAAGCAGTAAATCCTGGTTAATTTCTGGGCATTTAAGTGACTGATATACAAGCCGGTGGTTGAAAAAGCTTCTGTTTTTTGGTCACAGGGCTAGCATTTCCTGCAGCCCTGCTGACAGTCATTTCCACAACTGCTTGGTTCTCTCTAGCCATAGTTAACCCCGTTCCTACCTGCATACATCTTTCCTAACTTCCTGGTAAGGAGGGTCACCTACTTACTCTAAGCTGGTCAGGCTTCGGTTGAATTGTAGTGCTTGGCCCAGGGCCTTGGCAGCTTTGGCCTGGATGAAGTTCCATTGTAAACTGCATAGGGTAAGATACCAGGAAACGTAAGTGATAATGTGGCCTTGGATAGCTGAGCCAAGACCTGAAGGTGCCAGGGGAAATCCTCACCTGAGAAGATGAGGTACTTCTCACAGAAGGCTTATGGACTAGAGGTGAAGAGTAAGTCTTACATTTTCAGACATGGCCAATGTGTTGATGTGTTTTGCCTGCCTATATGTATCCTACCATGGGGCTTATATCTGCAAAGAGGGTGGGGGTGGGGGAGGAAGTTAGTGGATAGTGATAGAGAGGTCAAAAAAGAAAGGAAGGAAGGAATGAAAAAGAAAAGGAGGAAAGAATAAAAAAGAGAAAGAAAGAAAAGGGAGGCAGAGCCAAGTTGGTGAGATGAAAGCAGGGATCACCTGAGCTGTCCCCCAAATCCTTTCAAATACCTCTAAAAAGTGACTCTGAACAAATTCTAGAATGGCAGAACCCACAAAGAGACAAAAGGAGGCAGATTTCTAGCCCAAGACAACCTGGAAGGTCATCAGGAAAGATCTGTTGCACTGGGCTGAGAGAAGAGCATCTAGCCTGCAGGGATAGCCCAGACTCAGCCTAAGCAAAGCCAGAGCAGGCCTCAGGGGACTGAATCACCAACAGCAGCAGTGGTTTCAAGTCTTCTCATACCACAGATGCCAGAGACAAGTTAGATGGGCAACGAGAAGCGTCTGTCAGAACTGGGTGAGAGAGAAGCACAGTCCAGCACAGAGCTGCAGGGTATGCCAATATAACCCAGGCCCAGCAAACCAGGGACAGGCCTTGGGAGGGACTGAATCAGCAGCAGTAGTGGTGGTGGTGGGAGCAGCGGCAGCGGCTGCTCCTGGAGCTACTGGCCCACAGACTATTTGAAAGTCACCTATTTTGACTTCTGGGAGCCAAGATGGCAAAGTAAGCAGTAAATTGCTCTCATTCTCCCTTACTGACCTTGAAAAACCCAGCGAATATTGCCCCAGGAAAAATCATGAAATATTAGAGTCAGCAGAAAGACAAAATATAGGGGATTAACGGGAAAGGTCCTTGTTGTGGCTGAAGGGGACCAGTACAGGAAGGGAGGCATCCTAGCAAGCCAGTGGCAAGCCCCACCTCAGCAAACCAGTAACAAGACCCCTAGCCCCCAGGACAAGAAGCCTGGGACAGTGGCCCCTGTGCCCCAGAAGCAGAGATCAACTTTAAAAGCCAGAAAAAAGGCAAACAACATGAGCAAGAAGCAACATAGAAAACAATGACCATAGAGAAGTATCTTGATGACAGGGAATATCAAAACATAAATTCAGAAGAGGACGACATTGTCAATATACCCACATCTGAAACCTCAGAGAGGAATATGAACTTGGAAGAGCTCAAGAAGGATTAAGAATTAAATGAGAGGAATAGTAGAAAAATTGAACAATTCCTTTAAAAATGCAGCTGACAAAATGGGGGGGGAAAGTACACTGAAGAAAACAACTCCCTAAAAAGTAAAATGGGTCAAATGGAAAAGGAGGTGCAAAAGCTAACTGAAGAAAACAATTCATTAAAAATTAGAATTGGGCAATTGGAAGCTAATGACTCTATGAGAAATCAAGAGATTATAAAACAAAACCAAAAGAATGAAAAAAGAGAAGATAATGTGAAATATCTCATTGGAAAAACAACTGACCTGGAAAATAGATCCAGGAGATAACTTAAGAATTATTGGTCTACCTGAAAGCCATGATGAAAGAAAGGAAAGAAAAGAAAGATAGAAGAGAAAGGAAGAAAAAGGAAAATAATGCAACATTAAAATACATGAAAGAAAACAAAATTCAGAAGGGACACAAATGGAGCAGCTTTGTTACTACCGTGTTAAATTTAATACATGCTTTTCAAAAGTTGTATTTATTGGAAGTGCACAGTTGTATTTAAAATCTTCTTTTTGTTCTTTGGATGTTGAAATGTTTGTGTTTGCTAATGATGTTTAAATTAATAGTAAAAAAATATTTTTAAAGAGTAAAAATAATTGAGGAAGATAGTCTGTCACCAGCTCCATATAATATATATGCATATACACATATATACACACATACATACGCACATATATACATATACACACATGTGTGTGCCACACACGCGCACACACATACACACACATGCAGAGGTTGGTAGGACCCAGCAGAGTTTTGTGTTCTTCTGGGATAACCATTGAGAACCCAGCAGCACCTCTACCTTATAGTGAGTTATCAGAGTAAAACTTTAGTAAATTTTTCCAAAATCATTACTAATGACAAAGTTTTGTTGGACCTGCTTTCATTTCCCAGGGCTAACCCAATCCCTCCTTGCTTCCAGTTTCAAGGAACTAAAGCTGGAGGGGACCCTCAGAAGATGTCTAGTTGAACTGCCTCATTTTGCAGATGGGGAAACTGAAGCCCAGGGAGGGTAAGTGATTGGCTTAAGGTTATACTGGTATGTCAGAGGTGGGGAGCACCAACCTCAGAACGAGGAGCCAAACATACTCTATCTTGCCTTGTCAGCCCAGATCACCATAGAAAGCGAGCCAAGGGGAAGCATGGATGGCCATGATCATTGTTCTCATTATGCCTTCTCCATGTTCTCTGGAGTCAGCGCTCTGCCTTGGTGATGCTACTGATCCCCAATTTATCATGGTTCACCCTAGTTCAAAGGCTCAAATGTGAGCTGTCCCAGGGCCAACCTTCTCCATGGGTACTCAGTGTCCAGGGTTCCATACTCTGGGTGGGGGAAGAGGGTGTAACTGAAAGCATTGTCAAAAGAAAGTCCACAGGATTTAGAGTTTGAAGGGGCTTTAGGGATCATCTAGTCTGAACTTTCACTTTATTTTATCTATTTTTTTTTTTAGGCAATTGGAGTTAAGTGACTAGTAACCAGGGTTACATGGCTAGTAAGTATGTGAGGCCAGATTTGAACTCAGGTTCTCCTGACTCCAGGGACTGACTCCACTTCACTACCTGACTGCCCATGAACTCTCACTTTAAAGACGAGGAGATTGAAGCTTAGAATGGGCAAATGACCTGCTATGTCACCTGAGAAGGTTAAGTAGTTAGCAACCTTGGGTAAGGTATAGATCATCAGACTAGAGGTCAGAGAAGAGGAAGGGAACAGACATTTATCAGGTCCCTACCATGTGTTAGATACTATGCTGAATGTTTTATAATTATTATCTCATTTGATTTTCACAACAACCCTGGGAGGTAGGTGCTATTATGATCTCCTTTTTTTTTACAGTTGAGGGAATTGGGGCAGACAGAAGTTAAGTGACTTGGCCAGGGTCCCACAGCTAAGAAGTATCTGAAGCAGGATTTGACCTCAGATCTTCCCAACTCCAGGCCCAGTGCTCTATCCATTGGTCCACCTAGTTACCTCTGTGACAAAGGGTTGTATGACAAGTAAGTTAATGAAAGATACTGAAAGGAATGGAAGAAAGGAAGGAGGAGGGGAAGGCCAATGTGGTCTTTAGGAGTGCAGAGTGGGGGATAAGGGGAGGGGGAATTGGAATGTCCACTGGACCTCTGTTTACTTCCCAATGTGGTATGGAGTGAACCTGACAATTAATGAATACTTTTTGATAAGGATGATGAAATTGGGGGTTGTGGGGCATAGGAAAGAAATAATGTGCAAAGAAGAAAACTCACTGGAGGGTCCTGAGGACTCGATTCTCTTTCACCGCTGCTGCAATGGCCTGCGTGCCCTCATCATGAGAAGGTTGGCTGTCAGGCTAAGTAAAAGCAAAGGAACACAAAATGTGAATTGCACGGTCCAGGGCTCAGTTATTCATTATCTACTAGTAGTTCTTCCAAACACAAGGCCATTCTCCCCTTGGACCTAACTCCCTGCCTTGTTGTGAATTCCAGACGGTAGACCTTTAGGAGACAGCAGCCTAGGGAATGGATTATATCATCGATTTAAGGACATCAAAGACCTGGGCTCGAGTCCTAGCTTTAACATTCATTAGCTGTGTGGTTATAGGCAAGTTGCTTGACCTTTCTGAGCTTCTTTCCTCATCTATAAAATGAGGAAATAGTTGTACTAAGCTACTGATCTCAACATTGTTGTAAGGAAAGCATTTTGTTAAGTAGCTATTAATTATTATGACTGCATGGAGCTTTCCTATTTGAAAGCCCTTCCAGAGGATTAGATTGATGTCTGATCTCTACTTAGAACTCTCCTGGAAAAACGATTTCATAGCTTCCTTTATTGCCTCATTCCAGGGTTAGTCTGCCCTTTAAAAAAGTTCTTTCTTATGGCTAAGCTAAATCTCTCTTCTTTTAGGATTTATTTTCTTCTCATCAAGTCACCACATTCTGCATAGATGTCAAACTCACTAGCATAGGCTACAAAACTCCAGAGTGCATCTGAACCAGATTAAAATGTAACTGGGAAATGTTTAACAAAATCAATAAAAACACAACATAACCTAGGTTATGTTAATTTGTGGCCTGAAGGGCTCTGTTTCTATTTGAGTTTGACACCACTGATCTACAGCAACTCATGTGACTTTAAAAGACCGCTTGAAGATTTCTATTTACTGTCACAATCCGAAGTAAGCAAGGCAGGTGAAGTGATTTTAACCAATCAATTAACAAGCATTTATGGTCCTGTGCGAGGTGCTGGGGGGAGCGAAACAAATACAAAAGTGACTTGCTGCAATAATGTATGTAGTTAATGGCAGAGCTGGACTAAAACCCATATCTTCTGTCTTGATGCCTCAGTCCCTTTCCCTGGTATTGTGAGGTAAAGTCAGGGAGGATCACGGTTCTTTCCTAGTCCGTCTTATAGCCTATTCAGGGGGAAAGAACTATTAGTCCAGGGAGGATGAAATTTCCAAGAAAGAGTTTCTTTGGTCTTATGGTGAAACAAAAATAATATAAACCACCTTAAAGAAGAAGCTAATGCCCCCTTCCTTCCACTACCCTCTCCCTCACCAAGCCCTCTTCCCCTGAGACCTGACATACTCCAAGTTCTGGAGGGCCTGGTTGCTGCGCAGAGCACTTGCGATCTCTCGAGCTCCCTCTGGGCTGATGGAGTTTTCTCGGAGGCTGAGGAGAGAAAGCGATACTCAGTATTTCAAAGTGAGGAGATGAAGCCCTCCCTCCCCCCGGATACCATATTAGACACCTCTACCTTCTCAGGCCCACGAAAACTTAGGTGTCCATGGGATGTGCAAACCACAGGGCTGAGTGGGAGGCCAGGCTCAGAAAAGAGAGGCAGGGGGAGGAACTGGCTAAGCCAGGCATGAGGGGTTAAGGTAAGACCAACAGTAGACATCCCTTTGCAGAGAGCTCTTCCCAAATCTGTGCCTACTATCATCAGCTCTATCTATCACCATCATCTTCCCCAAATCCCCCACCTTGATGGTTCTGAAGTTCTTGGAAAGCCTTTGGCCACCACCCTCCCTGGTCTACCTGGCGAGGAAAGAGAGAGAAAAAGAGAGGGAGAGAAAGATAAAGAGACGGACAGACAGACATCCAGAGACAGAGACAGAGAGACAGAGGCAGAGAGAGATAGAGACAGAGAAAGGAGGAGGAGGAGGAGGAAGAGGAGAGAAGAATGGAGGCAGAAAGAGAGAGAAGGGGAGAGAGAAAAGAAAGGGAGAGATGGAGACTAAGGAAGGGAGAAAGAGAGAAGGAGGGAAGAAGAGAGAGAAAGGAAAGAGAGAAAGAGATAGAGGGATAAAGAAAAGAAGGAGGAGGAGGAGAAAAAGGAGGAGGAGGAAGAAGAGGAGGAGGAGGAGAGAGAATGGAGGGAGGGTGAGAGAGAGAAAGGAAAGAGAGGGAGGGAAAGAAAGAGAGAGAGAAAGAAATAGAGAAACAGAGAGAACAGTGGCACCAAGGAAAAGTGGTGCCACAAGCAGATTTTGCTGTTTTGGGGGTGGTGTTCTTACCACAGACTTAGAACTGGTAAGAATTTTCATGATTATATAATCCAACCCACTCATTTTACAAACAAGGGAACTGAGGCCTGGAGAGGGAATGTGACTGGCCCAAGGTCCACAAAGGTAGTAGGATTTGAATTCAGGTCCTCTGACTTTAAATACAATGCTCTTTCCATTGAACCACATAGTCACCCGAACAACCCAGGCCATACTACTCTTCCCTAATCTAAGGAAGAGATTTGTGATGGCAGCTGATTACTAGGTCCACTTCTGTGAGTACCAAAGAGATTTTTGCCAGGACGTTAGCATGCACTTCATCCTTTGGTGGGCCCTGGCCTCCTCCAGGCTTCTTTCCCATGGGGGTGGAGTCCTGACTGATACTTCCACAATGATAAATCAGTTCCATTTGACCCTTGCAAGGAAGATTTCCCTTGGGAGATGGGAATCCACAGTTGGATAACAGGAACCAAGACTCACTTAAGGCTGAGGAGAGTCTGATTTGAGCAGAGAGCATGTGTCAGGGCAGCCACCCCAGCATCACTGATGGAATTGCTCTGAAGGCTAAAGACAGAGAGAGGAGGGAAAACATTACACTCTGCAGGCCTGGCATGGCTGCCATCAGGGGAGTCAGTGTCCCACCATGGCTAATGAGTGAGTTCTTCTTCGCCCACAGCACTAATGAGGCCAAAGTCACCAGTCGAGTCAATTCAATCCAACAAGACATTTATCATGCGTGTATTAATCTATGCCCCAATGACTCCATTCATCATCCCTCTAACTTTGCCCCAATCTGGCTGCTACTCCCCTTGAGGGTATCCTCAGAGCACAGTACAGATTTTGGCATATAGTAAATGCTTAATAAATACTTTTTACATTCATTCATTCATTCCTGCGCCTGCTGTGGGCCCCATGTAGCACGGAGGGAGAACTAAAGTGTTGATGACAAGGTGCCTGCCCTCATGGAGCTTAGAGTCTGTACCAGTTTCACACACACACACACAAATGGCTTCAGATAATTTTTCCTTTCCCACACAATGGTTATCGTCCAAGGCCTTTCCTTCAAGGATTCTTTAGACTAAAATATCTGTGTCTTCTTCCTACATTTGGTTCTTCTTCCAGCAGCAACCTTCTCCACTCTCCAAGATGCTCAGATCCATTGCACTGAGGTTGCAGAGTATGGAAGATTTAGATATTTGACAAGCCCACAGTGAATCTTGGATTAGGAAACTGTGATCTAGCAGTATCCAAGTAGCCACAGACTGTACGCCTACCCTTTTCCTTCCTTTGCCTCCGACTCCAAAGTAAACCCTATTGCTAGGTGCCCGCTGCTTCAGAATAGATGGATTTGCTCAAAGATCCCCAGTGATCTGACCCTACCTAGAGAACTATTCAGCTATAGTCCTTGGAAAGAATATACTGGATGTGGGTCCTAGAGATTCTTACACAGAAAAGATGGAGCATTTAGGGCTTCACATAGACTGGAGCCAGGAGGGAACTAATAAAACCAAGGTCATGGACAGAAAATCCTGGGAATTAGCAGTCCAGGGCAAATAATACTCTGTGTTCCCTCCCAACATATTTATAATGGTGACAGATCAAAATGAACTCCAAGGGCAGTCTTGGATAGGAAATGAGATTGTACAAGACAACATATAGCCTGAAGAGACAGTGTGGGAGTAGGGAGAGGCAGGACCATCAGAAGTGCCTTAGGGAAAGTGAGGAATTTATGGATTGATATTGTGTGTATGAGCTTCCAATTCTACCCAAGAGTCATTGGGACAGCTCTGGTCATGGATCTGATTTTGGTAGATGTCAGGTAGCTTGGTTTCATCACACTGCCCCATGCAGCACCACTGTGATATTTTATGAATGCAGGCCTTTAATCATATGAAAGATGTGTTGAAGGTCTAGGCCACAGAGATCCAGATCCTTCACCACCAGAGGTTAGACTATGCTCAGCAGCATTGCAGAGCTAGGAGGAGCCCTTGGTGGTGTCAGGCAGGGCTGGTTCCAAGACAAACCACGTAGGCAATGGGCATAGTGGCATCACACACATACTGGTCCTGGGGAGGGAGGAAGGATGATGATATATTTTCCCTGTTGGCCATTCCCTTTCTTGCACATATGTGGTCTTCAAACTTCTCAGCCCATGGGCCACTTCAAAGGCTACATCTACTCTCCTTGCTTTCCTTCAGGACCACATTCCCCCTTCCCCACCTGAATCATTCCAGAAGCATCACCCTTTGATCTCCTCTTTATTGGTTGAGCCATGCCATTAACATTGCAAAGGGAGAGATTCTTGACTAGTTGACTCATGCTATTCACATTGAAAGAGGAGAAATCATACAGAGCCTGGCAAGAAGGGGCAAAGACTTTGTACATGGGGACAGGTTGAAGGACTTCCCAGTGTTTTGTGGCTATGCTTGGTTAGTTTCTGGGTAAAAAAAAAGTATGATTAAAAGTCCACACACCCCACCCCATCTCTCTCTCCCTTTCTCTTTCTCAATCTCTGTTTCTCTATCTCTATGTCACTGCATCTCTCTCTCTATTTCTCTCTCTTGGTAGCCTAATATAACCCATAATCCACCCTGAACCTGCCTGAAGAAGCCCTAAAGAGACAATTTTGAACCCCACTTGGAGAATATATGCTTCATGCCCACCACCAGCAGTGAGCATGGTCCTGACTTTCCACCAAGCAGACTTACTCCAGGGTGATAAGGCCTTGGTTCACCTTCAGTGCCTCTGCCAGAGCTTTGGAGCCGTCATTCCCAATACTATTGCTAGAGAACCTGAGAACAAGTAGGTAATGATAGTAAGCCCAGAGTCCCATTCCCTCCTCTCCCACCCTCTTCTTTAGGCAGGCAGCCATGTGCTTCCGACCATATTTCCTTACATTTCCCTCCCATGACTCGGGGAACCCTGTCAGTATAGCTCACAAAGCCAGAAAGATGGGTGCCATTTCTCTCAAGAGTTCCTAGTGGACCAAGAGCCCCCGTTCAAGTCATTCATATAGAATAAGGGGCAAAAGTGCCTATTTCTTGTCTTTGATTCCCTGGAGGTTGAACTTTTGAGTACTTTGTTTATAAAATCTTCCACTAAAGGCATTCTCTGATACCTCATCAGATTATGGAGATGACACTAGGCATTTAAAAGCCAGGACAAGTCCTGGTAAATCCTCTCAAGCTGGGAAGCTTCAAGTATGGGCCAGGTAACAAACCACATCTGTTGTCCAAGGACCAGCCTAGCTAAATTCAGAGGCTTTTCATCATCACCAGAAGGTTGCCCAATGGGTAACAAATCTCTTTAGCCATAACATCTAGGAAAGACCATCTTCCAGTGCACAGAAGGATTTCCATTGCTACTGGTGGGAGGAGTACTGCCCACCGAAATCATGGATTCTAGGGTTACATGTGATATAGTCAGGAAATATCACTTGATAGTTCAGAAGATGGAGGCTCATTGAGTACCATTTAGGGAGTCAGAAGCCACCCTGGCCTTGGCAGATCCCAGGTCTTTTAACTTTCATTCTGGTTCCCTGGCCACTTAGCCTGTCTACTTTTCACCAGTGTCCAACTTTCACACACCCTGGTACCAAGGAACATTATAGAAAGAGAAGCATTCTTGGGGATTCCTTACATGAGTTCCTTCAGGGTCCCATTCTTCTTTAGGGCATCTGCAATCGGCTTGGCTCCAGGAGGGCCAATGGCATTCTTTTGTAAGCTGTGGAAGAGTCAGAATTACTCATAAATGCCATCCATCAGCCACTGTCTAGACAAAGCACTGGGCAGACAGGGAGTGGGGTTGAAGGATGGAGGTCAGTGGATGACTGCCTTCTCCCTGCAACCACGTCCCTGTGATTCTCTAGGAAATACCTATGTGTGAGCCCCAGTGTGATATTCCAGTGAGGAGCTGAGAGTAGGAGTGAAGCAGGATTGAGCATCTGGTACATAAACAAGGTGAGGAAAAACAGTCCTTTTGGGCACCAAAGTATATAGGATGAGGGTGCAGGTAAGTCACTGAAGCTGTCATCCTCTCCTGAATAAGGACCAGGAAGTGTGGATGGATGGACATCTATGTGTTTGTACAACTGTCTCCAGTAGCCCAGTTAACATTTGCTCAGGGTCAAAGTATCAATCTGGTCAATTGTATTCATTGGTTTTGCTGATTTTTTAAAACTTCTGCCTCTTTTTCTTTAAAAAAGAATTATGGCATTAAAATTATGATTATAGCTGAGAATCTCAAGCTCAAAAGGCTGAGAAGCTCTCATGCCCATTCGTCTTTACGGGTATCACCTGGCCCTAAGTGTTTTATCACTAATAAACTTTTCCTCTAGCTGAAGAAGAAAAAAAAATTATGATTATAGATTATAACAAAAAAACTAATTAAAATTAGAACAAGCATGTATTATATATAATATTTAAAATATACAAATATAATAAAATATATAGACTTGCATTCTGGGAGAAGGAGGGAAGGACACAAGGGAAAATTTAGCCAATGTAAAAACAAAATATATCAATAGAGAATTTTAGGTTTCTTTTTTGCAGAGTCAGTATGGACTACATAGTAATCCTTCCCCATCTGAAGTTGCTTTGGGACCCCAAAAAACCTGAATACATACCATTGTTGGGTTCTACCCTCGTAGACTTGGTCTAGAGTACCTCTGATACTTTTAATACGTTCCGCCTCATGGGGGCAGCATAGCGTAAGAGTGTGGACTTGAAGTCAAAATGGCCTAGATTCTAATCCTAACTGACATTTTCTTGCTGTGTGACCTTGGCAGGTCATTTAACCCAAGATTCAGTTTCCTCACCTATAAAATAGGGATAACATCTGTAGTTATGGCCAGGGTTAAACGAAATAATAAATGTAAAGCGCCTTGCAAATGTTAAAGTGTTTTTAATAAATATCCATTATTATTTTATCATATTTATTGGTGCATATATTTTTGTCCCTTTTATTGACTCCTTGAGAGGAAGGCCTGGGGCACTTCTATCTTTGTCTCTCTAACCCTTTGCTTTGAGCCCTGCTAATACTAAGCACTTGCAGGTTGTTAGAAGCCAGGCAGTCTTCTAGGCCAGAGACTCTCTTCTGAGAGCCCTCCAGTTTTCCTTAAAGCCTGTATTTCTTCTCAAAAAGCTACATGTAGCTTCTCTGAATGCAGAAGGAGCTGTCAAAAATAGGCTGGTCAAAAGTGGACACGAACCATTGTCATTCCTTGTATCCTTTTTGTCTTTCTGTTCTAACATTTTGGTTTTGCTCCAGGGAAATGAACCTTGGGAAAAACCAGTTATTCTGGTCAAAAGGTCCCGGAAAGGGGCAGCTAGGTGGTGCAGTAGATAGAGCTCTGGCCTTGGAGTCATGTCTGATCTCAGACATTTGACACTTACTAGTTGTGTGCCCCTGGGTAAGTCACTTACCCCGGATTGCCTCACCAAAACAAACAAACAAACAAAAAAAGTCCTGGAGACCACCCAACATGCCCCACCCCTTATTTCTGCTCACAGGAGATGTGCAGAGAGGTCTACAGGAGACAAGGAGGGGCACAGAATATGTTAGGGACTCTGGGCTGGCTCCAGGACACTCACTGCAACACGGAGAGCATGTGGTTCACCATCAGTGCATCTGCGATGAACTTGGCACCATCGTCCTTAATGGCATTATTCTGGAGGCTGCAGTACGAAAGAGAAACACAGAAACAAAGGCTCTCAGAGTTGGTGGAAGAATCAGAAGAACTGGATTCAAATTCTTACATATACACATACATACATATGAGTGTGTTATATACATACATACATGTATATACATGCACACACACATACATGATCCTGCACAAATTACTCAGTTTTCTCATTGGAAAATTCCTCCCTCTCAACGTTGTGAGGCTGAAGTGAGACAGTGTATATATGTAATGAGTAGAGACAGGGTAAGGGATGGAGACCAGACTAAAGTTTTCATTGGTAGGGGGATCTCCAGGTGAGGAAGCTCCCTCTACTAATACAGGTTGCCACCTTTTCTGTAATTTATAGGCTTAGAGAGTGGCCTAGAGCACTAGGGTCACTAAGTTATTGTGGGTCTGCAGCAGAACTTGAACTCAGGTCTTTCTGGCTGGTACTCTATTCACAATGCCACACTGCCCCTCCATGCATTAAGGATACTCTATCAACATTCCCTATGGTTTGCATTCCTTTTATTTTGCTTTGAGATCAGATCAGCCAGCCAGCCCAGAGCAGTACACCCTTAGCATTTCCCATTCAATGGACCCCAAATGACCCTATGAATAGACAAGTCTGGCCAGCAGAATGACTTTTTTAGCCTGGTCACCCAAGGGGATTTGGGCTAGTATAGCAACAGCTAACCTAGTAAAGTACCTTCTACCCTCTTTGTGGTTCCTGAAAGGACAGGCTTTCCTATGCCGTCTCACAGCACAGATCTTTTGGCAAAAAGAACCATTGACACTCACCTTAGAGACACTAAGACCCGGTTAATCTTCAAAGAATCTGCCAGGGCCTTAGCTCCTTGTGGTCCAATGGAATTACTTCGAAGACTGGTGGGAAGACCAAGACAGCATGAACAACAAAGTTAACCTCCTCTCTGTTTGCTGAAGGGAAATTAAAGCAAGGAAGGGTCTGGTGTGTTTTGGTTCTTTTAGGACCGGCTTTCTCCTTTAAATCATTGACTCTCAAAGGGCTTGTTTGGGGTTTCATGTCTTGGTGCTTGTTTGGGGGAGGGGAGAAGGTGAAGTTCAGGAAAGGAGAGGGTCCCTGAGAGTGAGACTGTTGTGAAAAAACCGAGGGGCTCCCCTGAGGCCAGACATACACTCGGGGAAAGAGGCCCAGGGACCTGCTTGGCTTGCAGGGTGTGGGAACATGCCTAGCAACAGCCCTAAGTAAAGAATGTGGACCTGGGCGTAGGAGCAGGAGGTATCTCCTGACTAGGAACCAGATACCTTAACCAAAAAAAAAAAAGTATCTTGTTCCCAGAGGAAGACAGCTAGTGTTGTAACTGCTGAGAAAACACAGCAGGGAAGGACAAGAAGCTGAAAGTCCTTACTAACTACTCCTTGCTTTGAAGGGCTCAGACCACTGAGAAAGGAGGTGATTGCAGACACACGCTAGGCAGTGGTGAAGAATGATGACCTATGTCACTGTCCTATATCTGGGGACCCAGTGTGTGGACAGGCAGAAAGCCTGCTAATTTCCACCACAGGCCCCTGGAAAAAGGAGAGAATGGCTTTTGCTAAAACTCCCTGTGCTTGGCTGGGTTCATCCGACAGCTGTTCCCTAGCTACTCTGAACCCAGTGCTCTGGTCTTATACAGAAACACATCAGACTTACTCGAGGACAGTCAAACTTTTGTTGACCAGGAGGGATCTGGCCAGAGCCTTGGCCCCTTTGTTGTGGATCTGATTCTCAGCCAAGCTGCCAGAGGAAGAAAAGAGGAACTATCATTTCCGCATCTTCACACTCCTCCACCTCTTTTTGTATCCACCCACCTCCTCCCACCACCTACAGCCACACCCATGGACTCAATTTGGGCAAACCTCTTGTCTGTTTTTACTCATTTATGGTTTGTATTTGTTACCATTTTGCTTTTTAAGTGTTTATACTCAATTAAATAATTAGCTTCTTTTAAAATATTTTTAATTTCCCCCCCAATTACATGTAAAAACAATTTTAACATTCTTTTTTTTTTTCAAATTTTGAGTTCTAAATTCTTTCCTTCTCTCCCCTTCCCCTCCATTGAGAAGGCAAGCAGCTGTAGGTAGTCATGCAAAACACAAATAATTAGCTTCTCATCTATTTACCCCCACGCACTCAATAATGAATTGTGGAACAAATGCCTGCTTTCCCCTCTTTCTATCTTAATATCAACTATGGCTAACATTTACATGGCATTTACTGTGTGCCAGGGGCTGGGCTAAGCACTTTACAATTAGCATTTCACTTGGCCCTCACAGCAACCCTGGGAGATAGGGGCTGTTATTATCCCCATTTTACGGATGAGGAAACTGAGGTTAAGTGACAAGTCCAGGGTCAAACAACTGGTAAGTGTCTGAAGCCAGATTTGACCTCGAGTCTTCCTGACTACAGACCGGTGGTCTGTCTATCTACTGCACCGCCTAGCTGCCTACATATCTGGGCCCAGAAGAAAAGCCTTCTTCTCTAGGGAGCCTTCCTTAATGCCCCTAGCTGAAAATATTCCCTTCCTCTAACCTTGCAAAGCACTCTGCACTTTCCTTCTAGTCTTTTTTTGGGGCGGTTAGGGTGGGGAGAGTCCAGACTTGTAATTTTATCAGTATGGGGAATGCAGGTTAATAGAAATGCTCTTCACCTGGGCAGAGTAGTTTCTCTGTGACAAGTAGAACTGAGAGGGTGACCCAGGAGCACTGAGATGTTAAGGGACAAGGGCCCATGCTCACACAGCTGGGGTAGGCAGGAGGTTAAGAGCTGAACAGGGGTCTTCTTGGCTCCCTGGCCAGCCCTCTATCTACCAGGTCATGCTGTGTCTCTTCAACATTATGTTCTCGTGGTAGTCTATTCTGGACCCAAGTGAGTTCTGAACCCTAATTTTGGAGGCAGCAGGTGAGGTGATAGATGGAGAGCTGGGCCTGGAGTCAGGAAGACCTGAGCTCATGTCTGGCCTCAGACACAAGCTGTATGACCCAAGGAAGTTACTTCACCTTTGTCTGCCTTGGTTTCCTCAACTATAAAATTGAGATAATAATAATACTTACCTCCCAGTGCTGTTGTGAGGATTAAATGAGGAAATATTTGTAAAACACTTAGCACAGTGGCTGGCACATAGGAAGCACTTAATAAATACTTATTTCTTCCCTTCCTTACATTCTTCTTCCCTCCCTTCATTCTTTCCTTCCTTCCTCCCTCCTGCCCTTCCTTCCTTTCTTCCATCCTCCCTCCCTCCTGTCTTCCTTTCCTTCTTTCTCTCTTCCTCCTTTCCTTCTTTCCTTCTTTCCTTCCTTCCTTCCTTTCTTCCATCCTCCCTCCCTCCTGTCCTCCTTTCCTTCCTCTCTCCCTCCTTTCCTTCTTTCCTTCCTCCCTCCTGTCCTTCCTTTCTTCCATCTTCCCTCCCTCCTGCCTTCCTTTCCTTCCTTCTCCTTCCTTCCCTCCTTCCCTTCCATCCCCTTTTTCTCTTGTCCTCCTTTCCTTCCTTCCCTCCTTCCTTCTTTCTTTCCTTCCCTCCATCCTTCCCTAGTTAGCATATATTCATTATGTATACTCATATTTGTATGCACGTTATATCACCCTTCCCCTCAGGCTCGATTATAACCTCTGTGATGTGAGGACCTTTGTACCCAACACAGGACTTTGCAGAGGGAGTGATTAACAATGAAGAAAGTAATAAATGAATGATCAACCACTCAGATTGTTGGGGAACTTATTCAGAAGCATTACATCACTGGGGACAGGATGAGGGAGGCTGGTTCTAGCTGAGTCAGGAGAGGTGGGGGTCAGGGCTAGGGTGGGCCTCCTGTCCTTTGGGGGGAGGATGCCCAGGGCCTGGCTTCTGCTGCTGTTACCTGATCTTCTGAATATGACAATCCTTGCTGCTCAGTACACTGCCCAGCAACTCCATCACGTTGTCTTGAAACTGGTTGCTATCCAGCCTGGTCAAGCAGAGCAGAGAGCAGGTTTTTAACAGCAGGAGAGATGGGAAGTGTTCTCTTCTCCCCTCTCCCATCCCTCAATGATCAGGGTGATCTTAAGCAACTGGGAGCACATCTATATGGACAAGGTCTCCAGAGGGACTTAGAAAGAGTGGAAGGCAGAGTTAAGGGATGGGTCAGAGCCACAGGAGATCAGAGAGCTGGTTTAGAGTGGATCAAGGCCAAAGTCTGGGTCTTAACCTGGATTTCTGACTCCCGGGATAGGACCCTTTCCCACCTGCCCCATTCCAAAGAGCCTCAGTGATCTCTCTGCAGAGCCCACAAGAACGTCCAGCTCTCTCCCAAGAGCATGTGGCAAGGGTAACTGACTGACCATTCTTAGGGTGTTCTGCCCCAGTCCTCTGGTAACTGGCTACCCTAGAGAGCACTTACCTCTCTCAGACACCAAGCCCCAGCATTACTTGGCAACTGCTCCCACTTACTCCATGTCTAGCCTCTTGCCCAAAGCCGTGAGTGGCATGATGGGCACACTGATCACCAGCAGGAGCTCAATGGGCATGGAGCACAGAATAGGTACTGCCATGCACCCCCAAATTTTAGGAGAACTTTAGGAGCTCCTGATGTAGTTATTGAAAAGGGGGCAGCCCAGAATCTGGGGGACTAGGTTAGAAATTGCAATTTTCTGAAATTGTCACTAGATAAGAACTGTTTGAGGGGTGTGAGCACTTCTGGGGCTCTTCTAACAGGTCCAGACTCTAAGACTGAACAAGACATTCTGAACACTTTTCAGGAGGGTCCTGGAACCTCCAAAAGGACTCTGAAACTATTCCCCTCTCCTCCCCGGCTCCAAACAAAGGACTCTGGGTCCAAAATCAATAGATCTGATGAACTGATATTCCTAAAGCACAGGTCTAACAGATTGCTACCCTTCTTAAGAAGCTTCAGTGGCTCCCTATTACCTCTAGGATCAAATGCTTGTCTGATATCTAAAGCCACCAACAATCTGGCACTAGCCTACTTCCAGGCTAATTACACCTTACTCCCCCTCAGGAATGCTACATTCTAGCCGAACTTGATATCTCCTCTAGGAGATATTCTGTTTCCCACTTCGGGGCCCACCTCATGTCTATCATGCCTGGACTGCTCTCCCTCCTTACCTTTATCTCTTAGAGCCCAGAGCTCTCTTAGGCTCAGCTCAAATACCACTTCCTTCAAGAAGCCTTTCCTGACTCTCCCAGCTGTCCCTTCCTGCCAAATTCACCTTATACTTCTTTTATGAGTATCTTGTATTTAGTATCTATAAACATGTTGTAATCCCCCTATCAGATGCTTATATCCGTGGTCCTTAGTGTAATGCCGGTATGGCACACATTAATAAATGCTTGTTGATTGAGAAAGGCAGAACCTCTAAGGGGGGCCATTCTCATGGCCTGGTATTGTGGGGTACATGCCATACTGCTAGTCACATCTAGTGGCTCCTATTGCCTCTCTGAGCTCTGTGAGGAAAGAACGGGTAAGAAATGGGCAGGGCCTGGAAGAGAGAGAATGGACAGGGCTGTTCTCCTTTTGGTGTGGGAAATGGTAAAAACCATTCAGGTTTCTGATTTTTCCTCTGTGTCTCTGACTTTGAGCTCACCCACGAACCTATCTCACCCCCACCACCCCACGCCCGGAGGCTCACAGGGAAATGCCCACTACATCCTGTTATGGGCACCTGAGGTTCCTGCAGTAGAGAAGCTGGGGCAGCAGGCTCTTGAGGATGGCATAGTTGAGGCATCTGGTAAGATTGGTCTCCTGGGCACAGACCTCAGAGACCTGCAAGAGGTAGGCCAGAGCTGAGAGGTGCATGGGGTCCAGCAGCCCAGCCAGGCTCTCACTCTCCAGGGCCTCCTCCACAGTCCTGGCCAGCTCTGTGTGCTGCAGCTCGTGTAGGCACCGTAGGGCATTCACAGTGCGGGAGGAGATAGAGGCATCAACCCTGAGGTAGCTCTGCAGGTGAGCCACAGCCTGGGCCCGGTAGCTGCTGTGCTCATCCCGCCCTAGGAACCAGCCAGCCAGTAGGGAGTTGACCTGTGGGGAGAGGAGACCTGAGAGGAAGCGTAAAAACACATCCAACTGCCTGTCGTCCTCCTGGAGTGCCCGCTGCACAGCGTTCCTGAAGTGGGTGAGGAAGCCAAGCTTGGGCCAGGACATGCCGCTCTCTGAGAAGAGGTCAAAGATTGCCCTCTTGGCTGCACTATAGTAATAAGCAGCAGCCGCAAACTCTTGCAAGGTGAGGTGGATGAAGCAGTAGGCAGAGGATGCTGGGGTCTCTTCCCGCAGGAGGAAGCGACCGCACAAACTGCTCTGTAAAAGGGGGAGGTCAACACCAAAAGCTTTCATGTCCTGTTCATAAAACACATACTTCTTTCTGAGGAGGCTGTGGAAGGCCAATTGGCCCAAGGTCCCCATCATCTTCCTGCCACTGTGGACAGCCTGCTCAATCCTTGGGCTTTCCCTCAGCCTGTCCTGTCCCTCCCCACACAGGGCCATCTTGAAGTACCATGCATAGATCTCAGAGAGTGTCCTTGGAGGTGCCAACTCTGAGGTTTGGCATCCCAATCCATTTCTGATCAGGTAACCCAGCACTGTCCCACATAGCCAGCAGAAGGAAGGGATGGTACACATTAGATACAGGGCCTTGTTGGCCTGGACTTGATTCAGGATCTGGCCAGGGAGGTCACAACTATCAGGAAACATCTGGTTCAAATAGCTCTGGATCTCCAACTCATTGAATCCCCGGATCTCAGTCATCCGGTCCACCAACCCCCCCGGAATCTGGCCGGCAGCTGTTGGGCGGGATGTCACCCAGACTGAAACTTCTGGAAAGAGGTTCCCACGGATGATGTTAGTAACAAGATTGTCCACTGGGATTTCTTTCTTCGGGTCTGTGCAAGCCACCGCATTGGAAAAATCCAGAGGTACTTTAAATTCATCCAGCCCATCTAGAATCATCAGGACCTGCCCAGAGCCTAAGTATGTCAATCCTGTTTCACTGATGTGGGGAAAGGCTGAGCAGATAAGTCTCTCTGCAGACAGCTTTTCATAAATGTTGAGCTCCCGGAAATTCAAAGGCAGCACCAAAGAGATGTCCTTACTGATCTCCCGCCGGGCCCACATGGAGACATATGTCATCACCAGTGTAGTTTTGCCGATGCCAGCCACCCCAACAGTCACAGAGATCCGGGGAGGAATAGAGACTTTGGAGAGAGGTAAGAAGAGTCGCTCCAGGGGGATTGTTTTAGACACATGCCTCTGGCCCCGAGTGGCCTCAATCTGGGTGAAGTCATGCTCTTTTAGTTGGAGATCTGTCAAGCCCTCCACTAACAGTAAGTTGGTCAATCTTTCCGAGGCAGTTTTCTCTGACAAGAGACCTAAGTCTACACTGACTCCATATTTGCTCAGGAGAACCTCCAAGTGCCTCTGCATCCCAGAATCTGCAGAGATAAGACAGGGGTGAGTTTGGGAATGGGTCAGAAAGAGAAGTTATCAATGATTCCCTTTCACTCCAGATAGATATGAAACCGGAAAAACCTATAAGATAACCCCAGTTCTCTCCCTGTGAGTAGAAAGTGGGAGAAATAGAGAACAAATCTGTGGAGAGGTTTACTCAGCGGATCATGGAGAGGAAAACAGATGAGGAATAGGGAGGGACAAGGAAGGGCAATGAGTGAAAGGAGAGTGAAGAAGGGAGCAAAGAGAAGTGGAGAAAATAATGAGTGTTATATCTTCTCCCCATGCTTTTTTCAGGTATTGCCTACCATAGGCAGTGCTGTGGAGGCTGAGCTGGGCAGTCAAATTCTCAATGAAGTCCTGTCCAGCCCGGGAGCCCTGGCTGCCCTTCCCAGCCAGCAGATCGATGAGCACCTTCACCTTCTGGGTGGGGGAACTGGCCCCCTGAACAAGGCTCAACTCCTCCTCTCTCAGAACTTCCTGCTTTCTCATGGAGTCCAGAACCTCCTCCAGAAGATGTGAGGAGATGACTTGAACCAGCGCTTATGGTGCCACTGCATCCAGGTACCTGTCCATGGTAGGTGGGGGGGAGAGACAGTGAGACAGGGAGAGAGAGAGAGAGAGAGAGAGAGAGAGAGAGAGAGAGAGAGAGAGAGAGAGAGAGAGAGAGAGAGAGAGAGAGAGAGAGAGAGAGATTAGTGAAGGAACCTGTAGGGACAGACCTTGTCTACCTCTCACAGGGCAATAGGCAGAGTGAGGGAACCTGCACTATCAGGGTTCAGGCAGTAACACCAAAATGCCTGGACACTGCCCAGTGTCCAAGTGTCCTAGAGGTAAGCTTGGCCTCCTTGTGGGAAGACTGTCCCACATACTGTTTCAAAAAATTAGCTCCCAAGTACAAATAGATAACTTTGTGATAGCTAACTCTCCCATATATGCTAGGAGTCTTACAAAATCCAAAAGGCTTTAACTCCCATGAGATAAGGGACTAAAACAGCATCAGTGTTTCTGCTGAGACTCTAGAGATTTGAATGATTGGCCAGGCAGTACTAGGGAGCTGCCTCCTCCAAAGTAGCCAAAGTAGACTTAGAGAAACTAACTCCAACCCTTTCCCCAAACAGGCAATGCAGTATGGTGAAAAAACACTGGATTGGGAGTCTGAAGACCTGGGTTCAAATCTCAGCTCTGCCATTTACTCCTTATGTGACTTTGGCAAATTATTTCACCTCTCGGTGCCTCAGTTTCCTCATTTCCCGTAAAATGAAGGAGTTGAGCTAGCTGCCCTTCAAGGTCCTTTCTAGCTCTAATTACTATGATCCTTAACTATGGCAAAGATAAAAACACTGTTAGGGACTCCACTCACCTTCCATCAAAGAAAATCCAGGTATTCTGAGGAAAAGATAGTTCTAGGCCTGCAGCAGAAGTAATGATGCCCTTTCCAGCCAGGACCCTCTCCAACAGCATCAGGGTCCCAGGAGTTGGGCTTTATCAAGTTTCTGTTCATGGTTCTAGGAAAGAATAGGAAGCGATGACAGCAACGTACATGAGCTGATGAATCCTCAGATCTGCTCCTCACAGGAAGGAATCAGGATCAGGATTCTAGATTTCCATCTGGAAGGGGCCTTAGAAACCACTGACTCTTACTCCCTCACTTTAGAGATGAGGAAACTGAGGCACAGAGAAATTAAGCGACTTTCCCAGAGTCACATAATCTAGTGTCTGAGGGAGAAGTTCATTTCTCTCTCCACAGCTCACAATGGGAAGAGAAAAGCAGCATTGAAGGAAGCTAATAGGTATGGAAAACTCTCTAGTGGGACTCATTCTGGAGAGACCGCCCTAGAAGCCCTGCCTCCACCACCAGTTAGGCAATGGGCGTCTCACTGAGTGTTGGTCTCAGGTAGGTGTCCCCGCACTCCAGCCCACACTTCACTCAGCTGCTGAAACGATTCTCCAAAACAGCACGTCCAGATGTCACTCCTCTACTCTATAAACTCCAGTAGCTCTCTATAGCCTCCAGGAACACATATTAAGTCCTCTGTTTGGCTTTTGAAGTCCTTTGTATCCTGGCTCCTTTCTACTTTTTCAGTTTTCTTTCTCTGGACCCCCCTCTACATAATCCATGATCAGTGTCCTGGTTTTCTTGCTGTTCTTCATACCAGAAGCTCTCTCACCCGACTGGGTATTTTCATTGGCAATTGTCTCCCTAAACCCCCACCTGTATGATAGGAATATTCTCCCTCCTCACCTCCTTGCATTTCCTGGCTTCCTTCAAAATCCAACTTAAATCCCACCTTCTGCAGAAGGTGGAAATACCTCGCCTCTAAAATGATTTCCCATTGGCACTGTACATATCCTGTATCTTCAATTTTTTGCATTTTGTTTTTCCCATTAGAAGGTGAGTTCCTTAAGGCATAGATCATGTTTTTATAATTCTTTGCACCCCCAGTTCACCCCACAATGCCTGGCACGTTACATGCGCACTTAAATGTACTATATAAATATGCTTATATTTATGTTACTATATTATATTAAATTTATTATATAAGTATTTAATAAATGTTTGTTGATTGACCACTCTCCATTTGTGGAGCTCTTGACTGAGCAGGAAGAGACTAACTCACATGTACATGGCATTTTGCATTTATTATTAGCAATAATAATAATTCCCATTTCTACAGCACATTGAGATCTACAAAGTACTTTCTTCATAACAGCCTATGGGGTAGGGGCAGGACAAGCATTATTCTGACCATGATCATGATTATCATCACTACCATTTTACAGATGAAAAAACTAAGGCTTTTGCTGATTCCTCTCACCTGCTGGTGTCCTCCTTCCCAAACTACCTTGTATTTAGCTACTTTGTATATATTTGTCTATATTCACTGTATGCTGTGGATATTTTTATATATCCTCGTTGTCTCCTCCCATCAGAATGTAAGTTCCTTGTAAATAGGGGGAGTTTCATTGTTTTTACTTTCACGTGTCTAGCAGAACGTCTGACCTTCAGTTCATGTTTAATCAGTTTTACTGACTGATAATCATGGCTCAGAAAGAGGTGGTATGGGGGGTGTACCAGACCTTCAACTCTAACCTTCTGTTTCTAAATTTACATCTCTTTCCACTACACCTGCTTTCAGGGAGCTTACAATCAGTTGGAGAAGATAGGCTACCCATACAAATCTATAAACATTAGTGATGGCCCCATGGATACACATACCCAGTGGTGAACATAAGCACATCATCTATTTGGAGAACAGAAATAGCATGGGAGGGGTGGGGCAAGCAGAGAATCAGGACAAGTATATGAGTTCCAAAGGCAGGATGGTACTAAGGGCAGTGAAATGTGAGGGGCACCAGAGGATGCAGTTAAGCCTAAAATGTTTCAGAATTCATGAGGCTGCAGAAAGAGGGGACAGAGATAGTTCCCAAAGGAAGGCAAAAGAGTAGATCCATAGATCTAGAGCTGAAGGAGACTTAGAGGTCATCTAGTCCAACCCCCTCAACCGAGGACTCGAGTGGTGAAGACCCTTCCCCAAAGGCCATGTAGCTAGTAAGCAGCAGAGCTATGGTTAGAAGTAAGGCTTTGCTACTGCACATTCAATGATTTTTTCACTGTACCATGAGTATATGATAGTCACCAAAAGAGATGTATTGCTAAACTCCAAACCAGATAAGGCCAGTCACTCATACAGACTGGGTTAACACCCCAACCACATTGGGGATGCTAACAAAGAGATACATAAAAGTACTAAGTAAAGGAGGAAATAGATATGGGTAGAGTGGGAGGGTGTGGCAGGGAGGGCTGCTAGAAAGAATGGAAGAACCAGAATCAGGTAGGGCTAATTAGGGAAGGCTTCTGAAAGAGGGTCCTGGGGGCAGCTAGGTGGCCCAGTGCATAGAGCACTGGCCCTGGATTCAGGAGGACCTGAGTTCAAATCTGGCCTCAGACACATAACACTTACTAGCTGTGTGACCCTGGGCAAGTCACTTAACCCCATTGCCTAGCCAAAAAATAAAAAATAAAAAAATAATAATGAAAGAGGGTCCTGAAAGTCCTGCTCTGATGTCTCATTCACCAGGACTGGCGAATTTGGCTTCTCAAATGCTACACCAACCAGCTCCTCACACCAAACTCCACCATACATTCTAAATGGATTTGTGATCTTAATATAAAAGATCATATATTAAAAAAAAGTAGAAGAAAAATAGGTTATGTGCCTCTCATAGCTATGGGTAAAAGATGTATTTTTTTTAAACATTTAAAAAATTTTTTGACTTTCAAATTTTCTCCCTCCCTTGGCCTCTCCCCACCCATTGAGAGGGCAAGCAATATGATACCCATTATACAGGTGATTTTTTTTTTAGCATTTCTAAAATTTTGAGTGAGATGTGTTCTTAACCAAACAAGAGCTAGACGCAATTACAAAAGATAAAATAAATAACTTTGAATATTTGAAACTGAAAAGTTTCTGTACAGACAACATTAAGGCATCTAGGATAAGAAGGGAAATGGCTGAATGGGGAAAAAAATCTTTGTGTCAAATTTCTCTGATAATGGCTTGGTTTCCAAGATATATGAACAATTAATAAATATATAGAAGACTAATTCCCCAATAGATAAATTAGCCAAAGGCTATGAATAAACAGTTCTCAAAAGAACTACAAAGTATTTACAACTACATGAAAAAATTCTCCAAATCACTAATAAGAGAAATGCAAACCAAAACAATTTTGAGGTTTTACCCTACACCCTGAAAACTGGCAAAAGTGACAAAAAATGGTTAACAGTCAATGTTGGAGGTGAAGTGGAAAGATAGGCACACTAATACATTGTTGGTGGAGCTATGAAATGGTACCACCACTTTAGAAAGCAATTCAGAATTACATAAATCAAGTGACTAAAATGTCTATACCCTTTGAACCAGAGACTCCATTATTGGCTTTATACCCTAAGGAGGCCTTCAATAATAATAATACTCCCCAGGTATTCAAATGCTACACCAGTGGAGCATAAATTCTGGTAGAGCTTACCAATCTGGAGAGGCTTTGTGTATGGGCCCACCAATGGATTATGTCAATCAGCTAGCATTTATTAAGAACCTACTATGTGCTAGGCATTGTGCTAAGTAATGGGGGGGATACAAAAAGGCAAAAAAACCCAGTCCCTGATCTCTAAGTAGTTCACAATCTAAGGGGGAAACAACATGTAAACACCTTTGTGCAAACAAGACAGATATAGGATAAATTGAGAGTAATCTTAGGAGTTGTCTCAAAAAAACCCAAAACACAAGATTAAAGAGAATCGGGAAAGGCTGCTTACAAAAGGTGAGACTTCCGCTAGGACCTGACAGAAGCTGGGGAAGCCAGGAAAGGAGATGAGGAAGGAGAATATTCTAGGCATGGAGAAGAGTCAGTAAAAATGCTCTGAGACAGGAGATAGAGAGGGTTGTTCTCAAGGAAAAGCAAGGGGGTCAGTGTCACTGAGCATATGGAGGGGAGTGAGGTATAATAAGATTGGAAAGGTAAAAAGGTTATGAAGGGCTTTAAAAGCCAAACAGAATTTTA